AGGGTCGAGAGAAAGAGAGAGAAAGGGAAGGACAAAGTCTAACCCAATAACTAATGCTTCCTCGAGCAAACAACCAACAAATAACTGACAGTATCAGACGGCCATGTGTGATCTATTACGTTTTAACCCCCCTTCAATAAACACACTTGTTTGAGCTTCGTGGGTGTGGTAAATCAAGACGCCGTATCTCATTTCATAAGATATAATATCGCATATGATCTTCTTTGTGATACCTTAGCGAGAATGATAGGACACGCATTGTTATTGAAACTATTGTTTATTGTCTCAGTGAGATCAGTGATATCGGGGAATACCCAGTTTTATTCATTTGCTTAAGGTTTCGATAGAAGAAAGAGAGCGCCTCTGAAGAGTAAAATTCTACTTAGTAATGTGACACATAACCCCTTTGGCTTTCCCTCCTCAACTTGCTCCTACTTTGGCGTCTGGTTTTAATGTGAGGTATGCTGACAAAATGAATAGCTTCTCGGATTTAGTTTAGTTTGAGTAAAGTGAGACTTTCACAGCACTTGTAACATAATACGGTCATATAAGTGCCAAAGATTAGAGGTGTTACAAGGGAGTAACAAAACAAAAACAAAAGAGTAGAAGAAGGGGGGGGGGGCATAAGGACTTTAGATTATTAATAGGAAAGAAGGAGCAAACCAGAACCAGAGGTCTCTCCATGACTCTCCAACCTCTTGCCTTCTCGGACTGTTGATCTATGGACATAAATAGATCTACATCAAATCTATACTTAAGGTTTAGCTTGAACGGTTTATTAATATGAAATCGTGATACAAGACGTAAAACTTGAAGAAAATTACCTCAGTCTACAAGTTGGACCCCTGTTTCCATTTTTGGCCGATATCTCCTTTCACGGATAGCGAGAAGTAGGCCTAAAGCATAATATTGTCAGTGTGTGGTTGGCAGGTGCTCTGGTGTGGCTTGGTCCTTCTTTCCTATCCAACGTCTATCATCTTTATCTCTCCTCCTTCTTTTCTGTGTTTGTTCCTCTCTTGTAACACCTCGTATCTTCGGCACTTATATTAAGTTATATTATGACCTTTGTGTTGCAACCATCATTATATTGTCAGAGCTCGGAACGCCTCACAAATTGTTCAGATGATGTGATCTATGTGTTAGATTACCCGATCCAATTTTCTATGGCTGGGGTTCGCATTGTGGTGGGAAAAAAATATGGTATTCTAATGGGATCTATTTCAAAACAAGAGTTTTGTAACATTTTATGTTGCGAAATAAATGACATTGTATTGGTTTAACACCCCTTGCAACAATGTAAGATTATTTTTTAGACGGGACCTGATCAGTATTCAATGCAATGTCCATCCCCGACAGGACGTAATGAAATGGAAAAAGTCGAGTAGTGTACAGTAAAGTACCTTTCCCTAGCTAGGACAAAACAGAGGGCTTGCCTGAGCTTCGAACTCCCCGACCCAGCAGTCTCACGATCACAGATCTGGTAGCCTAAATGACCTTTATTGTGTCGATGTGATTCTCTTTACTCAAAGAAAGGGTCCGGTAGCCTAACCACTAGACTACCGACGCCACATTCCTGGCACTATTTCCAACACATATTGTTTGATGACACAAACCAACGTAGTCTCAACAAAGGGGTGCAGACCAGCGTCTGAAGTGTTAGTAGCGGTTAGGTGCTTCGCTGTCAGACACAGGAAGCCCGAGTTCAATTCCCGAGGGGGGGGGGGGGTGGGAGAGAAATTTTTGTTGAGCATCTCTGTCTTTCTGTTAGAATGTCGTATCCCTCTCCGTCTGTGTTGGCCCTGACAGGCAAGGTCGGATGTTGTTATTTTAATTACTACCTTTCACAACGACATGTCAACAACATCAGGGTTCCTGTTAGCTGCTGATACTTCGCCCCTTCCCCTCCCCTCAATTACCAAGTTCTATCACTCAGTGCTTAGTTTTGAGAAATTCGACGTAAAAATTTTTGAGTTTCAAAACATGTCCAGCTTTTTCGAATGCAATTCTTTTAATATCTTGATAACGACTCCGAATAATCTTACGATTTTGATAGAGCAGATAGAGCATTTGGTTTCTGACCTCTTGGCCGTAGTAACTCAAAACGGTCA